TATTGGATATATAGTATATATATATAGTGCCAATTTAAAATTAAGTTAAAAGATGTAAAGAAAAAAGACAAAAGAAAAAATATTACATTTTGTTATGTAGGTACTGTTACAAGCCAGGGGTCTTTGCTTGACCGAGCGGTGTCAAAACCCTAACGCATTTCCCCCTAGAAGTCATAAGTTTACCCCAAATTTCCAAAGACTTCTATACAACTTCATTTGTAAGTAGGAAAGCTCGACATGTCCATTCTATTCATAACGTTATTCTAATCAACGCAATAATGCATTATTCACAATTTGCCAATTATCCATCAAGCGCACATCCGCATAGTTTCTCTACATCAACTTTCCGTATCGTCTGCAGTTCACACCGTAAAAACTTTACAACTATCCCTAACACAGGGGACTATTTTAACGACGCCACCATAGGCCAGTCAATCTACCGTTTCAAGGCACATCACGCTAGTAAAACCACATCACATTTGCCACCATGGCGATATAAACGGTATCTTCCGAGTCCCTTCTCATTTATTCCATTGTGTAATTTAACGATTTCCTGTCGAACATACTGCCACTGCAGTCACAACACCAATGTACACCACTAGATTTTATAAAGTACTACATCACTAAAGGGTCACTCAAGCGGATTGGATCTGAATTTGCTACTCTTTGACCACGGCATCATGGAAACTCACTAACACTTTCTCTCCGTGACGTTTGCTCCTAATAATTGGCTATTTATTTCGGGCTAAAGAATTTCTCCTTGCACCGAATTCAAGTAATCATACAAGTAACCACACAAATCTAAGAATTGTTAAACGGGGCACTATAACCAAATGCGCATCGCCTTAATTTTATTACAGTACGTTATTATTATTGGCATCATCATCACCTACTACTGCTACTATTATTACTGTTAGTATTATTATGTGGACCGGGTGGCCGATTGGTCTAAGTCGCTTGCCTTTGCAAATCACTTAAGTGCTTGTCTGACAATGCGTGTATATAAAAAAGCTTGTCGCTAGCTTTCAGCAGATCAATAGTAGTTCTTTCAGGATGCTGTGTATTATGTATTATGTATAATGACGTAAAACCCACGAAATGAAACAAAACAAAAATTATTATTATTATTATTATTATTATTATTATTATTATTATTATTATTATTATTATTATTATTATTATTATTATTACTACTACTACTACTACTACATCGTTCCGGTGTTTTAGTGGTTAGAGATTTCGCCTCGGATGCGGAAGATCTCGGAACCCGGTCGAATCATATCAAAGACTTACAAAAATAGTAATAACAGCTGCCTCACTAGGAGATAAGCATTACGAGAATAGTGTTAAAACAGGATGTCCTGTTTTCAGGATAATGTGACTGGGTCGGACATGATTCTACATATCTGCGGCATGATGCGTCAGTGCTAGACATCACTATAAACTGCCACACTGCAGACATCGTAGCAATATGACTGAAAATTGTTAAAGCTATAAAGCTAAGTTAACAATCTCTCTCTCTCTCTCTCTTTCTCTCTCTCTCTCTCTCTCTCTCTCTCTCTCTCTCTCTCTCTCTCTCACACACACACACACACACACACACACACACACACAATTGTTGTTGGTGGATATGCAAAATGTGATTGACTAGATGTAACAGCTTAAAATAAGTCTACATAATTTAAGTTCAAAGATTAGATCACCCATTTAGTAATAACTGGTTATTCCGTACTCTTATTTCTCCAACTCAAGGATTAATACAAACACATCCGTATCACCCATTAAAAGAGAGACAGTGCTTAGTTAGTTGTTAGTTTCGTTAATTCTATAGGTTGCCGCACAAGCAAACTCTGGCCCAAGAAAAACCCAAGAACAATTTGAACAAAATAGTATCATAGAAAAGCACCGATATCAAGTGTTTGCAGAATCATGTACTATAAAATTCATGTCTGACGTTTGAAAGTCAAGTAGCAGTCGAAATGACATTTTTAGAGCATATTTTTGCTGATTTTTTTTGATCACGCATTTTGCCTTGGAATTTCTAATTTGCACAATTCGATCGATCACCCCTATACCATTAACTACGTATGCAGAGAAAGCGAAACAGTCACGTCATGTTATTGGCATTAACAATTTCATGTCAGGTACACTGTCCTCTTAGCATCGTGCGTGATGAATAAACCGTTCTACTTTTATAATAAATCTTTCAGTTTAATATTATATTTATACTGTGCGTTGATGGCTGTAAACACTCATATATTAGAGTCGACTTTTCAGAGAAAGACAGGCGAACAAGGAAGTACTTTTTCGCTTCATCACCCCCCCTCCTAAAAACTAAAACAGTTCGTAAATACCGGTATCTGATATCTCAAATCAAATAAAAAGGCATTCTCAACTTCGAGGTCAGTTGTACGGATGACAACTCGAATGTATTTCGACAGCTGACTTTCGAATCATCACGGCTATTTACTAAACGAGGATTGATCTAGAAACTGCGAATGCGTCGAACTACGTTTCGGTCAATGATACGGCCAATTTAATCGGATGGTTTCCGAATATATATAGTCACAATCGCAAAAAAAAAAATCAAAAAACATATAAACCTTGCTTTCTTTCATATGAATCTGGAACGACTGCATATATATGAGAATTATTTACTAGGTCGTCATGGGAGTGTGTCTGCTACGCACGAGCTCATATAACACCGACTCAGTGGCATCATTTTTTGGTGATGCTTGCTTAGTGGTGACGGTATATGGGTTGTTGCGTGCAGGCAAGGCGATATGTACCATTTACTCGCGGACCTGGGTTGGAAACTCCGAAGAGTGCGAATTTAACTTTTCTATCCTGTATAATAGTATTGTTTGTATTAAACTATTAATTCTGCCCCTTATTATTAAGATTCTACGGGATAGCACTGTGTACTGTGTGGCATATATCTATATATATATATATATATATATATATATATATATATATATATATATATATATATATATATATATATATATATATATATATATATATAGGTGACGCTCTACAGTTTCGTATTTAGCATAGGGTTAAAATTTTAAAGAAAAAGAGTTTCCCCGGGTTTCCTCACTAGTTATACTGGTGTTTTAATGAGACTTTGTATATCTTAGGTATAGTTCAAAGAACCTTTAATTCCCTTTATTTTGATGTATGATTGATGGGTGTAATATGGGTTAGAGAGTATACAGCTTGACCTTACTGCAGATGTGCCCCCTTTCAAAAAAGTGCTAGCTCTACTCGCTCATTTTCACTTCTCGAACTTCAGAGGTAAATTGTAAAAAAAGAGCCGATAACTTTTTTTTACATTTTATGCATTTGGTAATTCAGTCATTGCACTTTTAGAAGCTGGCTTTATCTAGTTTGGCAAAATTCATTTTCCATATTTTAATAGCTGCCAAGAATATTGTACTTTAGACAAATTTTGGTTGATTTTTGAAGCACAAGGGAGCAGTCATTTTAGTTCGCAGTGTCCTAAGCTCATTTTAAATTTCCAAAAGTACAATATCCAAAGAAATTTCATACACATTACATGAAAGTAGTATATAGGTATGCCAACATTCTCTCCATTGTGCAAGTTTAAAATGCAAACAACTTCACCTTACATACATCACTCTCTCAAAAGTATATAATAACTGGTGAGCGCCACCATATATATATATTTATTTATATATATATATATATATATATATATATATATATATATATATATATATATATATATATATATATATATATATATATATATATATATATATATATATATATATATATATATATATATATATATATATATATATATATATATATTCTTTTCTCTTTCATTTGCTCTATGATGATTTTTGTGTCAAACTAAAACAATAACTATCTTTCAGTATAGCAATTGTTGGAAGTTGTTATATCAGAAACTAATTATTTAATAATAATAATAATAATAATAATAATAATAATAATAATAATAATAATAATAATAATAATAATAATAATAATAATAATAATAAATTATTTGGTGGTCTTCTTTTTTCTGCTTCCTTTTAATCTTTTTAATCAACAAAATAGTCTAATCAATACTTTGTTGCAAAGAATTTCTCAACTGAGTTATTGACAAATTTCCAAACTCACCATTTTAAACTCAGTTCTCTTTCAGTAAAATTAACAGCTGATAACGATCTAAATCAACAATAAATCTCATTTCAGTCATTGCAGATCACTCATAAAATCTTTATTGTGTTTGAAGCGGAGCTTAAATTTATTAGCAATTATCGTTCTTAAAATACCCATTCACTGCTTATATATGAGCTTTAATTTTATCTTTTAATGAAAATAATTAATTATTTGTGTTATAACGGCGTGCTGCTTCTAAGGTATTGCCGTTCGGATTAAGAGAATCAAACTGCGGCTTATCTGTTAAAATCGCTGATTTATCACATTCATGATAAGGACTTAGAAATATAACGGTGCAATTTTCATACTGTGTTTTCAATAACAAATCGTCTGTCGATGGCGAGGGCTGTCTGTACTAGTAGTAGTTGAAGGAAGTATTAGGAAAAGTCAAGGAAATGATATTTGATATTGGAATACAAAGCGAAGGACTGATTTTGATGCCTAGAGTTAGTTCCCATATCATATCCAGTTTGCTATCAATCCGATTAATGACATATATATATATATATATATATATATATATATATATATATATATATATATATATATATATATATATATATATATATATATATATATATATATATATATATATAGCGGGGGTAGGGTGGTCCTGAAATTGTTTGGCTGGCGGGGTCTTTTTCTCCTACATAATTTTTCACTTTAATCTCGCACTCACACCCGAAAAAAGAAAGACATTAGAGAGACGCTCAGAAGAACTCTGAACACACTTATGCATTATAGAACACTTACTAAAACTGGTGCGTAATTCTGCATTCACAACATGTGTTCTCTTTTTCAAAGGAAGCCGCGTAGTTTAGTTGGTATAGCATAGGACCGGACTCATATTTCAAGGGTCGCGGGTTCGATACCTGCCCAGGCCAGTTCAGGTGGGTTGCCTGAGTGTGCTTTTGAGAAAAGCACAATAAAAATAAATAGTATTACAACAATTATTATAAGTATTTCTACAACAGCAACGGCAATAATGCACAAAAAAATTGTGGGTTACATAGGTCTCTGCAAGATTGGGCACGTGTTTGGTTGTTCCTAAACACCTCGCAATATTTTGTTCAAATTTATCATGATATCGGCATTATATGCACACATTAAGTTTCTAATTTATAGCGATTTAGTCATTTAAGTAAGGCACAAATTAATTTAATCTTGTCACTAAATCTTGAATGCCGAAATCCAAACATCTGTCCTCTACGCTGAGCGTATTAAAATATCGAGAAAAAGTCTACATTGTATTAGCTGAAAGGGTCGAAATTTATATACCAGTCAGCACAGTATATTAATGGGAAAGGTATTCAATATGAAGAGAAAATTCTTAGCCGAAAATTATTCTAACATTGTTACAAAACTAAATTTCAATGAGTGTATGTATATTTATGTCAATTTGGCCTAATCCTCAATGTTATATCAATCTTATATATCAAGACAAAGCCATACCTTACCTTAATTTGGCCTGAGCATTAAGTGTACTACTATATGAATATGTACGATAAGTATATTTAGGCCCGTCTTCAGGTTACCTCCTGGATGGCATTAAAAACCTTCTGACGTCAATAATGGAAAACCAGTCGACGAGTAATAACAAACAGGTTTGTGTTTGACTTGGGGAGACTAAGTCAAATTCGTTCCTGAGGTAAATTTAAAGAGGGCGATGAATTAAATTAAAGAAACAAAGAAACCAAAGAAACCAAACTAAATATTAAGAAAGGAAACGTGGACCTCATAGTGTGAAATTATAATACAGCAAAGACGGACATTTAATATCGATTTATTTCGTTCGATTAAATTAGCCTCGGCTATACTTGCATTGACTTATAGCTGTGCTGTTATCCGTCCGTCCGTCTGTCCTTCCCAAATTGTAATGCACTAGCACAAACACTGTTTGGCGCTGAGACAACCAACTTCTTGCTCTATCATGGTTATGATCGGATTATCTGATGACATCTTTTTGTCACTTATTTTAACTTCTTATTATTTTTGCATATTTAAGCCCCTTCCCGCACTTAAAAAAATTGTTATTTTGACGTCATTGTATCCCGTTTTCAATTTTTGAACACACTTGGACCGACTTTGTACTGACAAAAAGTTAACTAGTTAGCACAATTAAGCAAACACAACTTCAGTTAGTCAAATGAAATCTGAATGTCGTATTTTTTTTTTCATACGAAGATAATCTGCTTTGATTTTGAAGTCATTATATTATATTTTTTTTATTTAACAAAAGCTGTTTAGAAACACATTTTAGAACTTAATTTTACACAGACTGTGTGATCACTATTTAGGAATAATCACATGAGATATACAAATGAAAATTTACCTGCGTATGCATCAACAGATGACGGGATTCAATATTTCGTACTATCATCATATTTTTAATTTTTTTCTTACCTTTTACAATTTCTTGGGACCTTTAAACTTTTATCGTCTTTAGTACGAATTCATACATATATGGGATTGACACGATTGCTATAATATGCGTTTGGTGTTTGTGTCAATTTATTTGTTTTGATTGTCAGTGAATTGTATATATCGAAACAAATGTCCATTTCTTTTATGTAGTTTATAGTAATTATGTCATCTTATACTATTGTAGTTCTGCCCTTGATTCATTATACACGTACTGTAATAATGCTGATTTCACGAAAAAAGACGACTTTCTCGTTCCACTACCAATTATTTCAACCTGGTCCAAATGCTACTCACTCTTTCGGTAATACGTTATTAAAATTAATTCATTTTATACTCCTGGAGTAATTTTTCCTTATTGCCAACTTTCCAAAATCTTTTTGTTGTGGGCGCGGCAGCAGCTCACTTACCTGGAATAAATATGTGAAAATATTATTTAAATCAGATTGCACACTCTGCTCCGCTTTGTCGCGAGGAAGAAAGTAGTTCCCATCGCGACAAAGAAAGTATTACCCATCGCTACAACAAATATTGTACCCATCGCGACAAAGAAAGTAGTATCAACTGGAGCGAAGTTACATAGAATGGTTTAAAGGTCATCAGTCACCTATATTGTAAAAACGTATGATATTATTATAGTCAAAAACAAGACGCATTTGTCATGTTTGTCTACAAATAGAAGTGCTTAATTAGGCTAAAAATCCACTTTTATAGATGTAAAAAGTATTCGGCAATCCCGGTAAACAATCGGTAGTTTCCGCGTGCCAAACACGGATACTCAACCTACCTATTCGAGTGTTTAATTTCCCAACATAAATGTCTTTGTGATATATCTTACGATTGTGCTTTTAGACAGCAAATATGATACACTGCATTGCATATGGATGTAACCAAAAGAGTGATGATGGGAAACAGAATTCTTTCTTTTTCAGAAAAACCCTGTTTATCTAAAAAAAAGTGAATTTTTGCTGTGATATAGAATAGGGTGTGGGGATGGGAAAGTCGTATCATTAATGCCCGATTATGCACAAAACAGTTCAACCCAACTCAAAAGACAAATCGGCTCAACTTAACAATAGATTGAACAATTTCTTTTTCTAAAAACAAGTTGATACTATGTAAGATACGCATGAGAAAAAGGTTTTAGGAAAGAACTAACCTTAAACGAAATTTATATTCTTTCAAAGAAAATAATCATATTTTGCAACGTACATATATATATATATATATATATATATATATATATATATATATATATATATATATATATATATATATATATATATATATATATATATATATATATATATATATATATATATATATATATATATGAAAGAAAACACAAACACACATATCTTGCTTATTCTAAATAAAATATCTATATACATTTTTTATGCTAAAGATATATACGTCTGCACAAGGACATTCTCAATTTAAGTCTTCCTGTCAAATTATCAATATTCGTTAATTAAACATTAAAACAACAGATAATATTCTACAGAATATGCATACATGTTTCTAAGGGTAGTGTACATGAGATATTAAAACAAATATATTTAATTTTTTGCTTCATGTTGTAACACTGCTCCCTATGATACTCAATCAGTTACAAAAGAGAGAGAGAGAGAGAGAGAGAGAGAGAGAGAGAGAGAGAGAGAGAGAGAGAGAGAGAGAGAGAGAGAGAGAGAGAGAGAGAGAGAGATGTTGAGCATGTTGTCAATATATTTAATATATATTCAATTTTTGGCTTCGTGTTGTAACACTGCTCCATATAATACTCACTCAGTTACAAGAGAGAGAGAGAGAGAGAGAGAGAGAGAGAGAGAGAGAGAGAGAGAGAGAGAGAGAGAGAGAGAGAGAGAGAGAGAGAGAGAGAGAGAGAGAGGAGAGAGAGAGAGAGAGAGAGAGAGAGAGAGAGGGAGAGAGAGAGAGAGAGAGAGAGAGAGAGAGAGAGAGAGAGAGAGAGAGAGAGAGTAATGTTGAGCATGTTGTCAATGTTGCTGCAATATGAAACTTATGCCAGTTACTTTTATTGTTTGTTTTAATTTTTCATGTTGTCTTAATGTGTGCACGTCAATTCAAAGCTTGTCAACACTAGTCAATGTCGTCAATCATATTTGCTCTAATATTCCATACAAATAAGAAAGGAATTAATTTTGTGTTGAATTCGTCCCCACCCCGCAAGGTAAACAAACTAATAAACATACACTTATTTGAAAACAAAAATGAAAGAAATTTGTTAAAGAAAAATATAGCCACGAAAAAAATATACCCATGTAGTTGATGCCGGTTTGTGTATGCGTCCTTACTGTAGAGTAGAGTATATCGTTTACGTTAAATAACACAATCACAAAAGAGACGAAAATATCACCTGATTGATTGTAAGCATTTACCATTCACGTATGACGTTACCAGGTGCAAATTGACTAAGATTTTATTATATCCAGGTTAACTATATGACGGTACGACGGTATCTCGCAAATAAAAATCATTATTTTAAAACACATCCACGGTGAGTGCAAAAAATAATCTTTTTGCTAGCACGGGTTACAAAAGTGTTATTAAAGCACGTTTCCGTTGTGTATACTAATTGCCTTGAAAACTATAAATTATAATCACATCTGGGAAACAAATAGAAGCCCGGGTGATGGATAAACACAACTTGAAGTGAGCAGTAAACTCTTTCTTTAAACTTTCCGGCAGGATTTCAAATACAAAGGTTTTTTTTTGTTACAAAGCAAGCAACCCCGAAAACTGAATTTGGTATCTTTTAAGTGTGCCAATTTTTCTTATGATGTCAGCCCATATAAGGAAGTCAAGTTTGGTTTCATTGGGTTTTTTAAGCGTGCCGATTTTCCTTTTTTTAAAATAAGGTCGGCTGACATAGAAAAGCCAACATTGATTCTTTTTTTTACCTGTATTAACAGTCATTTTTCAAAAAAAATTGAAACAATGGGACAGTTTTAAAAGCGACACAATCTAGTATGTCGCGTAAGCATATCGATATAAGGCTGAACAGTAAATTAGTGTTCCGTTATTTCATCTACATGTTCCCTATCCATGGTTTATAATGTTTTATTTTTTTACAGCAGAGAGCATGTACTACGTCTTGTCTAGATAAATATACGTCATTTCTGGCTGACGTCCTCTATAGGGAAGAAATCGTAGCTAAGGAAAGTAACTGTGTTGTATACCTCTTTTTCAAGTAATTAAATTTAGTATTTCTTTTTGACACTTGATATTTTTTTTTTGTTTTTTTGGTCCGATCATAACCAGTTTTAATCATGTAATGCAAATCTGATGTAAACAGAAAAATGTTGGAGTGTGGCCGGTAACCTTTAAACCAGGTAATAATAGATAACACAGGATCACAAGCTTTAGGAACTGACAGCCAATCTTTCGAAATGCTGGGGAAATATTTTTTTCACGGAGGGACGAGGTCTCTATAAACCAAAGAGTT